GGGAGGTGAGCACACATTGATATGATTTTTTGTGCTTTGATGCCTTATAACTGATCTCTTTGGCACCTCATAATCACACAGACAGGTGTGCTTCTTCCATGTGGGCTTTGTTGCTTCTGAGCTAGATAGCCGCTTGTTTACCTTAGACCCCAGACACTATATCTTTTGATAGCTGGGCACCATCAGCTTTCTTTGCCACATTTGCTTATGTACCCGCTTTGTCTTCAGCGATTGCATTCACTGCTTTTTTTAATAAAGGATGTATGGGTGGTAAATGTTTCGGAAATCTTTCATGTGCAAGGAAGTCTTTGTTTTTATAAGGTGTGAGGGAAAAAATTCAAGTCAGAAATAAATTTCTTTCATAGTTTTGAATAAGTTATTTCATCATCATCTTGCTTCAGTATGGTTGTTGAGGAGGCTTCAGTCATTCTGAGGCTTCCTGTTTTGATTTGACCTTTATTTTCTTTTCAGAAGCTTATAGAATTGCTCTCTTGTTTATAGCATTGTGATAATTTTCACAGTAGTATTTTTGATGTCAAGATCTTTCTTGATTTTTTTGGTACCAGATAATTGGTAGTTTTTCAGCTAGCCCAGCATAAGAAAATATATTGAATTACTTGATGTTTTCTCAAATCCCTCTGAACTTTAGTAATTTAGGTATTAGATAGACTTCTTAGACTGATGCCCTAACATTTTTACCTTTTCTCTGCTATTTCCATTGCTTTGTCTTTTTTCCCCATGCTTCTTAAGAGGTTGCTTTAATTTTATCTCCCAAGTTCCTGTTTCCATTTTTCCTACTAATTAAATTTTTTTTAAGTTAAAATTATCTGTTAATTTTTAAAACGTTTTTAATTTGTAAGAACTCTTTTGTTTTTTAACGTTCCTTACTAAATTGTATTCAGGTCTCATTTTATGGAATTGATATCTCCATGAGGAATATGAATATGTGCATATTCTGTGTTAGAGAATTTTCCTCAGTTGTCTGGTGATAACTTGGCAGTTTGTTCATTATTAAAAGTAGGGGATTAAAAAACATATTGGAAACTCTGTTTTTGGTACATTGTTGATACTAGCCAATTTATTTATTGCACCACAAAGATCTTGTTAGTCCCTCTTTATTTTTTTTTCTTATTGGTTTTTTGATCATTATAATCGGGGCTCATACAACACTTATCACAATCCATACTTACTTCAATTGTGTAAAGCACATTTGTACATTCATTGCCCTCTTCATTCTCAAAACCTTTGTTCTCCGCTTAAGCCCCTGGCACCAGCTCCTCATTTTTCTCCCCTCCCTCCACGCTCCCTCCTCCCTCATGAATCCTTGTTAATTTATAAATTATTATTTTGTCACATCTTACACTGTCCGACATCTCCCTTCACCCCCTTTTCTGTTGTCTGTTCCCCAGGGAGGAGGTTATATGTAGATCCTTGTAATCGGTTCCCCCTCTCTACCCCACCCTCCCTCCACCCTCCCAGTATCACCACTCTCAGTACTGGTTCTGAAGGGATCATTCGCCCTGGATTCCCTGTGTTTCCAGTTCCTATCTGTACCAGTGTACATCCTCTGGTCTAGCCAGATTGTAACGTAAATTTAGGATCATGATAGTGGGGGTAGGGGATAGAGAAGAAGCATTTAGGAACTAGAGGAAAGTTGTATGTTTCATTGTTGCTACACTACACCCTGCCTGGCTCATTTCCTTCCCGAGACCCTTCCATAAGGGGATGTCCAGTGGCCTTCAGATGATCATTGGGTCTCCACTATGCACTCACTCTTATTTACAATGATAATGATGGTAGGCCCTCTTTAGAATGTAGCTCTTCAATCTTCTGTTGAGGTAGCTGGTGGGCAGCTGTTGGCCTAGCATCATGAAGGAAGAAGGTGGCTACACGATAAAGTGCTTTTCAAGCAGTTTTCATTTAATCATTCTTGTTTAACCTCTTCTTCTTTCCCCGGCTTCTGCTGTTCATCCATTTCCAGAAGTAGTTGGTGTTACTTTCTGTGGATTCTCCAAAGTAAAGTCTGTTGTTTCTCAACATTTTCTGTTGTCAGGCGATGACTTGGTTTTCTTGGGTTGACTAACTCACGTAATACCAATCTATTCAGTTGCAAGCTTCCAAGATTTTGTTACTCTGTGTCTTTTCATGTCCTTTTGTCCTTTTGGGGTTTATGTGTAAAAAAGAGTCACTGCCATTTTCATTGACTTTCATGAAACCGTGAGATTATATCCATGTTTTTAATCAGCCATCTTACTCCTCAAGCCTTGATGACTTAAAATTTTAAATCTATGTCTCATCTCTTGAAATTTGAAAAGATTTTTAAAGCTCAGCTTTCCCATTTGTTGTTTTGATTTTCACATTCACATTTGTAATGCATGGAACTGTTTGTGTGGACTGATTAAGACTGTATGAGCTCAAGGGTTTATAATCGAACTGAGAATGTTTGAATAAAAAGGTTGATTGTTTCTTAAATTTGCTCTTGTAGGAAAGTGAAAAGGTTTCTGAATATCCAGCAGTGATTGTGGAGCCAGTTCCAAGTGCCAGATTAGAGCAGGGCTATGCAGCCCAGGTTCTGGTGTATGATGATGAAACTTATATGATGCAAGATGTGGCAGAAGAACAAGAAGTTGAGACCGAGAATGTGGAAACAGGTAGATATCTTATAAAATGTTCATTATTTGTACCTACCTCATCTTGTAAGTTTCTATATTCCCAATTGCCAGATGACTAATACACTGAAGAACTTCTTTGAATACTATTTATTTAGTACAGCTTGGAAACCAGTGAAATGTCTCTTGCTTAAGGTAACTTATGTAGATAAAAGAGGTTGTACATTTAGCTTCTTTGCTCTGTAAGAGACTTATATCATGGACCTTAAGACAAAATTACAACTCAATATTAACAAAATTGTTTTTAGTATTCAGGGCTTGCAAATACTCGATGCTTATTATTTCCTTGTAGAGGTCAATAGGGCAATATATGAGGGTAACTTTTTTAAATTAAAAAATTGATAAGGTGTTTTCATTTCACAGCACATTTGAGGTTTTCTTTGAAGTGGTGTTGCTAGTGCAGGGTGAGTCCTTCTCTCAGGTGAGAGAAGCATCTTTATAGGAGTCTGTTAGCTTCTTCTTCCCCTTTTGTTTTCTTCTAAATCTTGGTATTTTAGTCTGTCTCTGGGGAGATAGTTATGGGGCGTTGGGGATTAGTGTCTATAATTCTTAGAGAAATCTTATCATTTTTGCCAGTGCTCATAAACAAAACAGTATTGTATTAGAGGGCTGTAGCCAGTGTTTTATAATCTTAAATATAAAAACATTTTTAGCTATTAATGGAGAAAAAGGATCCATGACTTTCAAAAAGGACACTGGTTTTCAACCCTAGTACCATTTTTAAAACATGGAGATATTTGTCTATCAATGTAACAAATCCTTTCGATTAAAAATCTTGAGAATTTGATCTGTTTCTGCTCACTGAGGTCTGCTAGTTAGCTTTACCTGGAACTACTGACTGCTTCCAGTTTAAAGCTGTTCTTTACCTAATTTAATTTTTTGTTGATCTGAAGAGAAAGGGCAACAAAAGGTACCTCAATCATCAGAGCAGTTAGGACAACTGTGCCAGTAAACCCTAGGTGAAGTTGTAAAACTAATAATTAATTAATTTGTTTAATCATTTTATTGGGAGCTCTTACAGATATAACATTCCATAGTTCAATCACATCAAGCAATTTTATACAATTGGTACCATGATCAATCTCAAAACATTTTCTTTTTTTCTTGAACTCCTTGATATCTGCGTCCCCTTGTCCCCACCCTACCCCCCAGGAACCCTTATTCTCCTCCCCCCCATATCTTACACAACCCAATATAGCCATTCACATACAATTCTGTTATTGAATCCCATCAAGTGGGATTATATAATCATCAATGCTATCGGCTTCCCTCCCCATCCTCTCCTCCTCTACCTTCAGGGAACCATTACTCCTGTTACTATTTCTGAAGGGTTATCTCTCTTGATTTTCACATACCTAACGATCTTATGGATATGAACATACACAAATCTAACATGAGTCATGATGTAAAACAAAAACCATCATAGTAAAGGGAGGAAATATTAAAGAACTAGAGGATAATTTGTGCTTCATCAGTGCCATGCCGTACCTTGGATTTATCATCCTTTCGATGTGGCCTTTCTGAGAGGGACTGTTCAATTATCTTACAGGTGGGTTTTGGGTCTCCACTACATCCACACCCCTTCAAATCAATTTGGTTGCTTGTTTGTTTTTTAAAAAATTATTTTACTGGGGGGCTTGTACAATTCTTATCACAGTCCGTACATACATCCATTTTGTCAAGCACATATGTACATTTGTTGCCCTCATCATTCTCAAAACATTTGCCTTCTACTTTAGCCCTTAATATCAGTTGCTCATTTTCCCCTTCCCTCCCCACTCCCCCCTCACTCATGAACCCTTCATAATTCATAAATTATTAGATTTTTGTCATAAGTTACACTGTCTGACATCTCCCTCCGCCCTCTTCTCTGCTGTCCATCCCTCAGGGAGGAGGCTATACTTAGATTCTTGTAATTGGTTCCCCCCTTCTACCCCATATTCCTTTCACCCTCCAGGCATCGCCCCTCTCACCACTGGTCCTGAAGGAGTCATCTATCCTGGATTCCCTGTGTTTCCAGTTGCTATCTGTACAATGTACATCCTCTGGTCTAGCCAGATTTGCAAGGCAGAATTGGGATCATGATAGTGGGGGGGGGCGGCATTTAAGAACTAGAGGAAAGTTATATGTTTCATCGTTGCTACCCGGTACTCTGATTGGCTCGTCTCCTCCCCACAACCCCTCAGCAAGGGGGTGTTCAGTTGCCTACCGATGGACTCTGAGTCTCCACTCTGCACTCACCCACCTTTACAATGACATGATTTCTTGTTCCCTGGTGCCTGACACCTGATCCCTTCGATAGCTCGTGGTCTGGTTCCTTGCTTTTGAACTTCTAATACCTCTTCCCATAGACACCTCATGATCGCACAGGTTGGTGAGCTTCTTCCATGTGGGCTTTGTTGCTTCCCTGATAGATGGCCATTTGTTTAACTCCAAGCCTTTAAGACCCCAGGCATTATATCTTTTAATAGCCGGGCATCATCAGCTTTCTTCACCACATTTGCTTATGCACCCATTTTGTCTTCAGCGATCGTGTTGGGGATGTGAGTATCATACAATGCCATATTGTTAGAACAAATGGTTCTTATAGTGAAGTAATATTTAAGTAGAAGCCCAAAGTCCATCTGTTTCCTTGTTGCATATATATATATACACACACACACAAATACCCATAAGTGTAAACAATTTATTTTACCAAAATAGGGAGCCAAATATTAATAAAAACTTCATGATAGTGGTCTGAAGTGGTATCTGATTTATAGTAGGTGATGTAGGTTGACCAGAAGATAAATGCTTTTATTTTTCTTCTGAATTCAGAAAATTTTCAGAATTTTCAGAAAATTTCAGAGATGAATTTTCCTCTTGTGAAAAAGGGTGAAACAGTTAAATGTAATATGTATGGCAATATTTTGTACTAGACATTTTAACTGATTTTATTAAAGGATATAAATAAACAGAATGCTAGTAACACACACAGAATTGTGCTAGCTTAAATTAAAAGCAAGGACCCTTGCTGTTGAGTGGACTGTTAGTTCATAGTGGCCCTATAGGGTAGAGTAGAACTATCCCACAGGGTTTAAAAGGCTGTGAATCTTCATGGAAGCAGTCTGTCACATCTTCCTCCCACAGAGTAGCTAGTGCATTTGAACCTGTAACTTTTCATTTAGGAGTCCGATGCTTAACTATTCTTGTGCTAGCTTAAATTGAAAAAACAAAAACAAAACATAGTTGAAATTTTTGGAAGAGGTTTTGATTTAAAAAGGCATTCCACCCAGTACCAGCCCGGGTGCACTCTTTTCCAGTCCATAAGGAGCATTTTCTAGAAGAGATCATATGTGCGAATGCAAAGTAAGTCTTTATGTTGGGACACAAATCGGCTTGAAAATACTGATATTTTTACAATCTGTCTTCTTAGACCACAGTGCTATAAAATTAGAAAACAGTGATAGAAGAGCAAGGGCAAAAAAGTAAATACATGGAAATTTATCAGCACCTGGTTGTAGTAATTAAACTATGGTTTAACTGATGAAATAAGGAATGAAATTAAAAAATTCCTTGAAACAAGTGAGAGTGAAAGCACAACATTCCAAAACCTTTGGGACACAGGAAAAATAGGTACCAGAGGGCGATCTCTAGCAATTAGCATACACATGAGAAAAGAGGAGAAAACCAAAATTAATATCTTATTCAGCATCGTCAACAACTAGAATAAAATCAACAAAACAAACATCAGCCATCAAGAGAAAAGAAATCATAAAGATAAGAGTAGAAGTAAATGAATTGGAAAATAGAAAAACAATGGAAGAAATTAGAGAAGAAATTCATTCGTTGGGAGGATTAACAAAATTGACTGTTTGTGAACTTAAGGAAGAAAAAGAGAAGCTGCATGTATTAAGAATTAGAAATGGAAAGGGTGGCATCACAACAGATTCAAATGAAATAAAAATAATAACATTACTGCGAAAGCCTGTACTTCCAAGAAATTTGAAAACCTAGATGAAGTGAACAAATTTCTAGAAACACATCACCTACCCAAATGAACACAGATAGATATAGAAAACCTTACCACACCCATAACCTTCGCAGAAAGGAGAGTAACCCTGATACCAAAACCAAGGAAAGACACCACAAAGATGGGTATGGCAAAAATAAATAAATGAATAAGGAAGGGTTCCTGGGGGATGCGGTGGGGGAGGGGTAAAGGGAGCTGATATCAAGGAGTTCAAGAAGAACAAAAATGTTTTAAACGGATTGTGGTAGCAATTATACAATACTGCTCCATGTGGTGGAACGATGGAATGTTATATCTGTAAGAGCTCCCAGTAAAACGATTAAATAAAAAAAATAAAACTAGAAAACATAGGAATAAAACAAAACTCACTACCATTACAAACTCACTACTCATTACAAAAACAAACTCACTACCATAGAGTTTATTCCGACTCATAGCGACCCTACCTGGTAAGGTAACACTGCTGCTGTGCGTTTCCAGACCGGGAACTCTTTACAGGAGTAGAAAGCCTTGTCTTCTCGGAGCGGGGGTGGGGTGGGGGTGGGCTTATGGGTTAGAACCGCTGACAGGGGAGTTAGCAGACCAACAGATCACCACTATGCTACCAGTTCCCAGCACAATCTTGGCCAATAGAGATTCATAAGAGGGGAAGGAAAAACTAGAGAGAAGGTGGGGTAGAATATGGATCAGGCAGAGGTTTGAACTGTTGAATGCAGAGTTAATGGTCTGATAAATCATCCTACCTATTTCACAGTTTAAAACATCATAAAAATAGAGGGATCTTGGTTTTGATAACAAATTGTGACCTTTGAAATATTTAAAACTTTTCTCAAATTTCCAGAGGCAAATTAGGATTTTTTCATATTAAACTATGAGTTCCTCAGTCAAATCTTAGGGCATACCTGAGTATAAACATTTTTATTTGAAGTAGCTCAGGTGGAAACAAAATTCTAAACAGGAAACAAATGTA